GATAAATTTCCATATATGTTTTCATCATGGAGTAGCAATCTCAAATTTCTGGAGGATAGAATAGACACCTTATTAGGCAATTATAATTTTGTTTTCTTGCACAGTAATTTTTATGGAGGGTGAGTGATTAGGACAGGATGGAGGGGAGACACGGAATTTGGAGGAACAGTTACGAGACAGGGAAATGCAGTGAGAAGGATAGATTTCTTCAGTTACTACAGTCCAAGTGGTCACCTAAATATAATTTCCAGTATTTTCTTGATACTATCAGGTATTAATACTGACTTTATAAATAAGACCAAAGAATCAGAATATGGCACCTCTACCATGGCACTCATATAATAATTTCAGTGAAACAGCAAAATTAGGAGAAAAGGCCAACCACCGAATACTTAAGGATAGAGGTAAAGCAGAAGGGTATCCCTCAGGGAGGAAAATGTCATCTTGAAAAAGAGAAAAAGTTACGTTTCTCCTGACCCTGAATCTATATTTTTTCAGAACCATTTTAAAAGCCTTTCTGATGCTACCACCCTTAGCTGCTGAGATTATAATCTCCTGCATTTCACCCAGTGAGTAAACTCTGGGAAGCTTGACCCTCTTTTGTCCCACAATGTAATCTGATCCACCTGTCATCATCAGGGGACATCTGGGATCCATCTTATCTTTCCCACTGGCTAGTTAATTAACCAGAAAATGTTTTGAATTGGATTCATTTATGGCGGAACTCCACGGACTTGATGAATTATAATGGGAGTCCATTAAAGGTCAGCTTTTATTTTTGTGCTTTTACAGAAGAAAACTCTGACACGGTTAGGACTGAGTGCTTTAAAATTGGAGAGAAAAAGTATTATATTGTATTAAATGGCTAAATGCAGTAATTCATGGGATCATCTGACTATGTTAAATAAAATTTTTTTTTTCAGAGTGAGGAAGCCCTAGCTCAGTAGCCTGACACAGAGTTGTCAGTCGTCAGGCATTACAGTTAGTTGGAAATAGACAGAAGGCCAAGAAATGCATTCCTTTGCTCTCTCTTGCTCTGTTTCTACTGGACAGTGTTTCTGGCTGAAAGCTGGGGGTCTTTAGTCCAGAGAATCTTTCCCACACCATTATTTTTTGCCAGGTTCTTGGTGGGGGATGTGTCTAGTTCAGATAGCTATGAGAATTTTCAGCCATTTTGTTTGTCTTCATCATTAGTACCTATGAGATATTTCAAAGATGATGCCCAGGATAGGATGTTAAATATTTTTCAAGGCAGTTAGGTTATCAGTTTATAAATCTAACTTTTAGGAGGATCAAGAACTATAGTGGTTTCATGCATCAAATTATAATTCAAAACTAAAAACTTTGTACATGATGAATCTGTATACAAGTAAGAGTTATTGTATTTATTATTATGATACTTGTGGGACAAGAAACTATGATGACTTTGCTTGAGTTTCCACTCCTGCAGCTGGGTGATTGCAGATGCATCAGGAGTTCAGTGAGTGTCTTGAACTATGCTTGAGATGTTTTGGGTTCAACAAAAGAAGCGTTTGCCAAATCCGTCTCCCCTTAATTTTTAAACATGTGTATTTCAAGGGAAATTTGATTCATATGTTTCTGATTCATTTACACTTAAATCATGAAAATGTTATTTTGTAAGAGCTATTTGATGTCCAAGAAGCTTTCTGAACCTGTTTTTTAAGCCTTCTTAAGTCGTTTTTCTTAAAACAGGAAGTTGCATTTTGCCAAGTACAAATAAACTCAAACATTAAGAAGGTTCAAGTTCAGTTTCCAACTCTGAACTCCAGGTTTTAAGTGCATTCTCAATTTAGCAAAATATATATTCCCACCCCTACAGAAGTAGGGGCAGGAGGAAAGACCATAGTGATAAAAGTGAGTAAAGGTGTTCGCAAGCATTATTATTCTCAGAGACATTTCTCCGGTTGTGAAAGTTTATAAAAACCTATAGCAGGTGTTCTCAGAGCTAGTAGATATAGGTGAACGGCAAACAGGAACATCTGTCTGCCTGTTGATTCTCTGTGATGTGTTTAGATATGTCTACTTTTTTGTCACTGAAAAGAAAACCGAAAAGTCTTAATAGTTTAGCTTCACTTTTTAGTAATTTTACTTTTGACTGACTTTCAGTCTTAATTCTTCTAGTAAAGGTGGGAAGACTCAACACATTTTGTTGAACAGTGGGGACTCATAAGAGATTCTGTAGGAGTTTTATGTCTGTACTAAGATGATGTAACATCAATTTTACAACGTAATTGACACTCCTTTCTTGCAATTGGATAAATACAGAAAAGTATCGCAGGTTCATACTCAGAGGTCTCTTAATTATATATTATCCTTCTTACTTAATGCAGAGGTGATTCAACCTGACCCTGAAATTCCCTTATAGCTGATTCACTTTTATTTATAGAAAAAGAAGGTAAAAGTAATAATGAGGGAAGTTTGGGACCATTCTAAACAGTTTGCTCAGTATTCTGCTTTATTGAGTCCACCTCAGTATTTCTTCTGTACTACTGAGTGATCAGCTGACTCTTGGAATGACAGGTATTATGCAACTGAAAATACTTTATTTAAAAATTATTAATTAAACTATCAGTTCAACTGTGGAAGCCCCCATGCAGCGGCCACCAGGGAAACGTGTTACTCATATAAAGCTGGTTTTATTGAACTTGCTAAACAAGGGGAGGAAGCACCTTGACAGCCTGTAGTTTCTCAGATGGGGGAATTTAGGGAAGAAGACTTGTAGAGTTTGGGGCTGTAGTTAATCACAGGGTTATTTCAGGACAGAAGCTAGTAAATGAGGTCTAGCTGGAGAATGGTAGGATTTGTAAACTGGGCAAGTTGTGGTCTTGCCTTTGGAACATAAGTTCATGAATAATTAATGTTAAGTTTGTTTGTGTTCTTATCTTGGAACGCATCGTCTCAAAGGAGATGGGGTTAAACATTTGAGGTCAGATAGTTTGTGCTGCATCATGCAATTTACCTGTTTTGTGATTAATAGCATAGGTTTGCAGATTGTGAGTTTTGTTTTATTTCTTACAACAAGCAACTAACTATCACAACAAAGTGTAACACACACTTATTGACTGGTTTAATGATCTTTAAATTTTTTTCAGACAGTATTCAAAATCACTTAAGCCTTGTTGGGTACCCATGTATACTTTATTTATTTAAAGAATAAATAAAATTTATTCTTTTCCTTTAGCATTACATTTTATTCACTCTGAGAACATATATGATACTAACAATAAAATGCCTTTCAGAATTTATATTGTTTTGGGGTTTTTTTTTTGTTTTTTTGCGGTACGTGGACCTCTCACTGTTGTGGCCTCTCCCGTTGCGGAGCGCAGGCTGCGGACGCTCAGGCTCAGCGGCCATAGGCTCACGGGCCCAGCCGCTCTGCGGCATGTGGGAGCCTCCCAGACCGGGGCACGAACCCGTGTCCCCTACATCGGCAGGCGGACTCTCAACCACTGTGCCACCAGGGAAGCCCAAGAATTTATATTGTATTTTGAGCTAGTTTAATTTCAACTGAAATAAGTAATTGTTTATACACATTTTGCCTAGGAAGAATTAATGCTTTCTGAAATATTAAAGCCTTATATGCTACTTAATAGTAACACTGAAATTTGAGGAAAGAGTCAGGATTTCATTTTATAAAATAGCATAATGTTATTCTCACAATGTTTATGTAAATGTAAATAGATTTTCAGAGGAAGAAACCTTGTGAAAGAGAACTCTTAAAAGTGATAATGTAGTAATCAGGAACTGCTAAAAGGCTACATGAAAATTCATTGTTTAAGATAAAAAATTTTAATGAAAGGCTTCCCTGTCATTAATATCCATCCTTGTAGCTGGATATTCTACAATCTTCCATAATAAATCCTAATCTGAATGCATGTACAATAAAATAGAACTACTTATCAAACAGCTTCTCCGAGGGATAGGTGATATTTGTCTTTTTAAAATTAAATCATAATTGTTTTCACTATAGTTTATCATTTATTAGATAATAGCCATGGTTAGTTATGGTTTTACATTTTAAAATTCCATTTATAAAATATACATGTGAAACATTCTTGTTTTCTGCTGGTCTCAGCCAGTGTGATTTCAAATTCAAATTCAGAGACTTTCCTAATTCTCCAACAACACTTTCTCTTCAGTGGCTTCATTAAATAATCACAGTAATAGCTACCATGTACTGTCTTCCTTGTGCCAGTATTTGGCCAACAAAAGCTCATGAAATTCTGACTATGACCTTGAGAGTTGAGTATTATCATTGCCTCTGTTTTAAACACAAGGAAACGTAGGCCCATAGAGACCCACCATATTGCATCCAACTCCCATCTGAGGAGGGAGTCCAAGACATTCAGCCATGCTGCCTGAAGCCAAAGAAATTCAGGTGTAAATGCTGTTTTCTCTATTTTGGTCTCCATGTTTAATTCTGGATACTGTGTAGCCTAAGTATACTGTTTTAGAAAAAAACTCACAAACAACCCCACAAAAAAATTTTGAACAAAATCATCATAACTTTTTGCTCCTAGTTGCTAAGATAACATTTTGTCATAGCTTTTGGTATCAGAACTGAAAATGACAGTGATACTTTTAACTAACCCTGTGACTGTACTCAGTTCTACTTACATTACAGGGAAACAAAAATATTACAATGTGGAGGAAATCCATGGACAAATAAACATCTTTGAGAAAATATATTTCAAGGTGGTTACTTTCCCAACTAGTATCCATCAGATCTATTTCAAGCTGGTTTCTTTCCCATTTCACTTCTATCAGAAAATATATTTCAAGGTGATGACTTTTCTCAAATCTCTACCTTCTGAGGGCCAAATAATCATATAACCTTTCAGATGCTATGGGAGGGTCCATCTGTAATGACAGAACATTTGCTTTGTTTCCTAAGACCTGGAGCACATAGCTGCTCTAGTTTTCTGTTTGAGGCTGTTCTCCTAACCTGTGCTTCTCCCTTCCCTCTTTCTCTTCTCCAGGACTGCCCACCAGAAGCAGGTGATTTCCGAGCGCAGCAGTGCTCAGCTCATAATGATGTCAAGCACCATGGCCAGTTTTATGAATGGCTTCCTGTGTCTAACGACCCCGACAACCCATGTTCCCTCAAGTGCCAGGCCAAAGGAACAGCCCTAGTTGTTGAACTTGCACCTAAAGTCTTAGATGGGACTCGCTGCTACACAGAATCTTTGGATATGTGCATCAGTGGTTTGTGCCAAGTAAGTGCTGGCTTCTTTTCATTCTATTTTTCCAGAGGGTTTTGTGTCAGTAGCTTTTGTGTAGTCCTGCTATCTGAATCAGTGTTACTTTTTCTAGAGTTTACAAATGATGACCCATTTGAAAATTGAGGTTCAGCTTCAGTTAAAGCTACAAGAGCTGTATTATGTGTTAAGGAAAAGTGGACTAGAGTTTCTTCTTTCCTTTGAGTCTCACTTCAATATAGAAGAACCAAAATTCTTCAATATTGTGTATCACTTTTGTACTAGACTCTGAAATTACCTCTATCTTGGTTGTCCCTGAAATAATGTGGGGTGGGTGTGTGTGTGTTTATCTGTATTCAGAGGCATCAACTTTTCCTTTACCTAGAGCTTCAGAATCGCTCAGGTGAGACTGGCTCTAAAATCTCCACGTACACTGTACGAGAACTTGTTGCTTCTCTATCATGACTACAGTTATGCTGAAAATTTAGACAAATTGTAGGAAAAGGCATGGCAGTGTCAACTAGTTCGAATTCAGCCAGGTAAATCTTTAACAGGGAGAGCAAAGAGATTTGATTTCTGGAATCAATTTTTCAATGTCTACTTTAGGTGGGGAGTCACTAAGGTGAGCGAGAGTTAATATGTTTTCCATATTGATTTCAAAGTCTATGCTTTGGATTAGGATGACCAGCCTAGTTTTGGGAGCAAGCAGTTGCTACAGTTTCCTGTGTGCTATACTTGACCGTTATACTTTTAAATTTCACGTAGTAGACAATTTGAGAATCTTTGGCTCTCCCAAGAAGACATTGGTTGAAATTTTTCTCTCTTCAGAATTTCTGGTATCACAACTAGCCATATAAGAATAAACTTAAAATGTGTTTCAGTAATTTGTGGTTTCAAATTCACATGTTTATTTAAAAGCTAAATCCGTTTTCAGATGTAAAAGGAATAGCTGTAGTGTGAATGACTACAAGAGGTATGAGAAGTCCTACAACGTTCTGTGTAGATGAGAGAGAGACAGACATACTAAACCTTCATGAGGTCTAGAGTCATGAGACAAATAAATTGTGACAAGTCCAAGCACTTCTTAGATAGGAGGATGGAGTGATGTTTACGTATCTGTAACTATTTTACTATTTTAAAGCTAGGAAAGGCCTAAGAGGTGATCTAATCAACATCCTGAAAAGCAGTATATTTGAATCGTTTGTGATACTTGGTATTTGCTTCCTTCTCTAGAACTCTCAGTGGTGTCGAGATGTAATTATGGAATCTACAAAAGCTATGGGAATGACAGAGAATTGTAAAGCAAATATATACAGAAAGGGACTATGTTGTAGGGAATGGCAAATAAACATAATAATAATTTTTTATGTATGTGTAGTGTTTGAACAAAGAAAGACAGGGGCTTCCCTGGTGGCGCAGTGGTTGAGAGTCTGCCTGCTGATGCAGGGGACACGGGTTCGTGCCCTGGTCCGGGAAGATCCTGCATGCCATGGAGCGGCTGGGCCTGTGAGCCATGGCTGCTGAGCCTGCGCGTCCGGAGCCTGTGCTCCGCAACGGGAGAGGCCACAACAGTGAGAGGCCCGTGTACCGCAAAAAAAAAAAAAAAAAAAAAAAAACAGATTTCCATTTTGTAAATGAGAAAAAGCCAGGGACCAGAAAAGTTGTGTGATTTTCCGAAAGTTATATGGTTGGTCATGGAAGAAATGGGATTAAATGTCAGGTTCCCTGATATCTAGTCCAGAATCATGGGTACTATATTATACTGATGAATGAACCAAAATAAACAAGATTGGCCTGCAAATTAGGTTTCATTTCTTTCTGCTGCATGGGAATTCAATGTGGCCTCTTTTTTTCCTAAATTAACCCCGCCAACTGGCTTCATGTACCTTGGCAACTGAAGCAAGAGTAATCATGCCTCCTCAACTTAGATTCTTATAAGTGTGACCTGTTAGATTTGGGGACAAATGTAAATTAGAGAATATCTGAATAGAATGGTGACGTACATAGAAATTGTAATTAGTTATTATTCTTTTCTTTATTTATTTGTCTTGTTCGAGGCAATAGTAAGGTAAAGGGATGGAAGAGTTCAGATTGCATTTAGATTCTAACAAGTAGTTTGGCCAGAGAGCAGGATACCCCCCCAGGTACTCAGTAAGGAGAGAGAGAGGTATTTTGGGAGAAAATCATGGTGTCTTGAAATGGCAGACAAGACCATGATCAGCAGTGGGTGGCCAAGAAAGAGTTTTAGTGGAGAATAGACATAACCCTAGCTCTGCTTTAGAAAGATGAATATAGCTGTAGTTACAGGATGCTTGAAGGGGAGCTAGGACCACTTACAGGACCCTGGAGGCAAAGAGACCAGCTGAAAAGGAGGCTCTTAGAGCAGCCAAAGTGAGGAGAAGCATGAACCTTGGGCCAGGCCAGTGACAGCGGTAACAGAAAGGAAACAAGGTCTAAAACCAAGAAGGAGTTTTCATTTTGACTATAACCAGAGCAGGGGAATAGTTGTTAAAAAAAAAAAAAAAAAAAAAAAAAAAAAAAAACCCAAGTCTCAGGCAATCAAAAACTACCACTTAATATGAATTTGTAAAAAAAAAAAAAAAAAAAAAAAGTCAAATCACTCATGCTCAGGCAATCAAAAACTACCACTTAATATGAATTTGTAAGTGATATCATTTTTAGATCCTTGCTACCATTACCATAATGGCCTTTTTTTAATGATTAAAAACTACTTGACTTTTCAAAAGTTGGGAAGGAGCAGAAAGAGAGCAATGTGAGAGAAAGACAGCAAGGTGAGAGAGGAATATGATAGAAGTTTTCCCAAATGGATAACAATCCTAAAGATTTACTTGGCTTTGCCAATAATGTGTTTGACATTATCAAAAGAAATAAAAAAATTTTCTTATCCACAAAAAAATGATAGAGGAATATGATGGAATACTTAAATGCAGTATATACTTTTTCAGAAGAACAAGAGTGAGGTTAGTCAACAGAAGAAAAGCACTCACTGCTACCTTGAAAGAGTGGACGTACGTAAATTCCATCCTACTTAGAAAAGAGTTCCTTTATTTAGGTTACATCTGTATATCGGTGATTAGCATTTGTGGTCTTTGGTAAGAAACATTAGGAAGTCATATGTTCATAATCTTAAGAACACTGTCAAAAATCTTAACGCTAGCTTAAATGTACAGTTTTTATAAAGAGCTTCTCCTGGCTTCCTGAAAAAAGTCATCTCCTCTGCCCCATTTTCCCTCCTCTTCCATTTCTACCCCGTTTTGGGGGAATTCTCAACTCTTTTACTGGCTTCATTGTTGTCTTATCATCACTTTTTGTTGGTAAGCTGCTTCAAATATTTTTGATGCTAGACAGATATAAATTATAAACTGTAGAGAAGCAAATGTCTAGCTTTGGACATAATCTTACCTTGATAGAAAATGGCAGCATAACTAAGAGATTTGTCATTTTTAAGTACCAGTTATTTCAGTTATGCCTGTTTAATACTCAACTAAAATCCACGTCCTCAAAACCATCTGAGGCTTTAACTCTTAAAATTATGGAGACTTTGACTTTTAGAGTCAAAAGGTACCTTAGCAGTTTACAAATATAACTATTTCACAGAGGAGGGAACTGGGACCTGCTGACAGTTCCAAAAGTCATAAATGAGGGGGTTATCTGTAGTGAATTTGCTTCAGGAAAATTCTAGAATCATTGCTACTTATAAGAGATACCTTATTCAGTAATATTAGGCATCGTATTAGGCAGTATATTCACTGTAATAGTAGTAGTAATAATAATAATAAAATATCCTCCATTTTTTAGTAACTACCATGTCTAGGCACTTTACGTATATTTTTAAAAATATTTACAACTCTGCATATTAGGTGGCATTATCCTCATTTCACAGATGAAGGACTGAGGCTCGGGTATATTATAGGACTCGCTCAGAAGTACCCAGCTCTGACTCCAAAGCCCCTCTTGTTCCTGGTGAGGCTAGCTGGACAGAGGCAGTGTTGGGTGATGTTGGGTACTGGTCCCCAAACTTGACTGCCCTCCAGAATCCCTTGGAGAGCTCTTAAAAGATATGACTCTTAGGCCCATCCTCTAGAAATTCAGGTTTATCCATTTGATGTTTTTCAAACACTCTCCCTATGACCCTAGTGTTTGGCCAGATTTATGAACCACTCGCCGATTAGAAAGCAGATAGCATTTAAAGTCACAAGATACCGATTACAATCTGGATTTTCTTTAATGATCTGTGTAATCTTGATCAAGTTGCTTACCCTTCCTAAATTCTATTTTTACTCTGCAAAATAAGATTATCTCGCAGACTGCAGAGCACCAAGTGAGATAATTCATGTGAAATGCTTAATAAACTGTCAAGTGCTGTGGAAAAGTAGAGTACCCTGAACATTTTGAATTGCAAAATATATTAATGTAGTGGTTCCCTGTGTGGAACTTCATAACCCTGTAACAATTCAAAAAAGTTTATAGAATGAGATAAAGTAAGCTACTACTTATTCTGCTAAGAACGTTCAAAAAGAAAAGGAGACCTTCTATCATGTACTTTCACCATTGTTTCCTGAATGAAGTTTTAATAACAAGAAAGCAACAAGAACCTGATTTCAGAATGAAGGAATGAAGGACAAACCTTTAAATTGAATATCCTTTGCCTTATGAGAAAGTTACTACCCTGTACTTATTTTTCATTCTTTCTCCAGAGCACAGAAATTGTTACTAAGCGTGAAAGCACTACCTTTGAGATCATCTAGTCCAGCCCTGAGAAATATTGCTGTGCTAGGTTATGCGATTTTCCCAGGATCTTCCAGCTAGTTAATGGCAGACTAGAGGTCAGAGAATGTCACTGTTTATCAGCATTTTTTACCTATGCCCCCTGTGTTATTTCTTCAGCCTCTGCCACAGGCCAAAACCTTGTCCAGCTTTAATTCTGTCATTTCCACATGGAGGCAATAGGTTTAGTGGATGTCTTTTCAAACCACATCCTCCCCTTGACACCCCCA